TTCTGACCTCTTCTCCCGCTGATTGGCCGATTGGATGATGACAGGCTTCCTCACCAGTCACTCCTGACTGGTGAGGAAGCCTGTCAATCATCCAATCGGCCAATCAGCGGGAGAGGTCAGAATGAAGCAGATGACAGAGGAGGTCGCGGCCATCTTGCTTGATTGAAGACGCGATGGAGGTCCTGTGTGCGGCGGATCCGTGTCCCTGAAGATGGCGGACGCGGCACAGGTACTCGTTTTATGTTTTGGAGTATTTGCACGAGTACGAGTACTCATGCAAATACTCGGTATCGCGGCTGATACTGATGCTTGTATCGGTATCGGTGCATCCCTAGTATTTATGATTATATATAGGGGTTGGTGTCTCTGTTGCTGATCCCAATATTTGTTCCTATGTTATAATGATGACACCTGCTGGGTAACTCAACCAGGAAGGGTAGAAAACATGTCAGACACTCCACATGGTCAGTGACTGGTTAAAAAAGACTTTGGTTAAATTGATCAACCTACTCCCACCATTTTCAGGATTGATGGCATAACTCCAGTTTTGTTTTGGATAGTGTGATAAAGAGTTCAAATGTCTGGCAGATATTTATTTCTGTTTGTGTCCCCATTGAGAAGATTTTACCACACTTTCTATCGCTTGGAGACCTTCAAATTAAATTGGGGTGCGGGTGTCACTGGAAGGCATGGACAACAATAAAAATGCTCTCAGAAGGTATAACCTTTCCCCACTTTAATAAAAATGTGTTTGTCCCCAAAGGAGAGGTTTTTCATAACTTCTATCCTGAAAAAGGAGACATCTCCCCAATACGGACACAAATAGCAATGAAAATCAGAGGCACTAACCTTTCTCAGCTCTATCCAAAACAAAAATTTTAGCTTTAAAATGTTCACGCGATTTTCCGGTCCTAATCTGGTCCGGATCTGCAGACGCGGTGCTCAGCATGCAGTGCGTTTTTGACGTGTTTTGACCGCGGTCCGTACACTGACAATTCCTTTTTTTTTTAATAAGCTGTGGGGCTGTCAGTATGCAGATTCTTCCTCTGAGGTCACGTCCGCCCTCTCGTAATATCTACTTCCCTTTGTGTATGTAGAGCTGGTGATCAGACATGTATTACATGTTTGCAGGCCTGGTGTTGGTGCTGGCTACAGCAATCTGCAGAGAACGAGCTTGCAGGAGGTCATATAGCATTGGCGCACGCCATAGCAATCCGACACATCTTTCTATGCCCAGGACCATGTTGTTCATGCCTACTGGTTTTCCCTCTACTTCTCCACCACAACCAGGAAGTCCAACGATGATGACATCATGAAAAGTGTAGCAAGAATACTTTATTTTTTGCTAAGCTGCAGTGCGGTCCGTTTTCGACGCGCTTTCGCTGTTTTTGACGCGTTCGTGCGTTTCCGGACCGGACAAAATGTGACATGCAGTATTTCTTCTGTCGTGACCTGAACGGACTGCGCACATGAGAACTGTAGCCCATAAAACACATATGGATACATTGGGATGCATTTTTTGTGCAGGAGCACATGGATCTGGTCAGGACAGAATCCGGATGTTGTGTGAACAAGCCCTAAGGGGTCCCAAACTGGATGGATCTTTTGTATGGGGACTACTAAAGGTGTCCACACATGTGATGATTATAAATCTAATTGGTTCTTTTTAGTCCTAATGTTTCATTTTTATTACCACATTTAGAGGCTCTTTATTTTTTTTCTGGCATACTAAATGGATAAAAATAAAATGGACTTCACTAGTCATTAAACCCCTCCATATCATGGCCCCTGCTACCAAACTCCCAACTCTGTCAGATTTTGGCTATTTGCATGGGCAGCAAATGTGGTAGCGGGGCTGCTGAAAACTAACCCAGATAGTGCTGCTCAATCCTGGTGAAGATGAATTCCTTTGCTCCTGTCTAGTATATGATAATTCATTTTCCCTAGCTTAAGCAAGCAAATTGCAGCAATATTAATAACAAAAATTGTGACAAAACGATACTAAAAAATGTATATTATTTATATTTTAATTTGCCACTGGTAAGATTAATTTTTGGTGACTCTAATTGTGCAATAACTCATGCAGATTTAAGCTATGAAACCTTTAAATTTGCTGACAAAAATATAGTTAACAAAGTCAAAATAATACAAACTAACTTACGCTAAGTACTTAGAATTATTTTTTTTCTACCCAAGTGAAGATCAGCTTAGGGTATATTACATTGAGTATTCAATTACATAACTGTCATTGCATATAACTATCATGGGATTAATTTACTAAGATGAATTCGTTATTTGCAACTGAATTTGCTATTTCACCACAGTTTTTTCATCTAAACATTTAATACACATTCATAACTTCCCATAGTTGTACAATCATAATTTGCTTGCATAATCTAGTTATTTAACCTATATCAACTTTTTTTTTTGGTACTGGTATTTGATTCCACAAAGCATAATTTTTTCTGCTAGCCTCCAAAGGGCACCTTAAAGAACCTAACAATTATCACTAACCAGAAGCTATCACTATTTTATGGCGTCTTAACCTATGCAATAATCTTTCTGAATTGGTTATAATATACAAAAATCAATAATTTCATGACCATGTAGTAAGTCGGTAAATTCAACAGATGTGTATATTATATGTAAAAAAAATGTTTTAGGTTTATTGAAGTGGAACTCCAGTTCCAGGTTAGATAAGCGTTTAAAAAGAGATAATGCAACAAAATCATACACAATACAGTGATACTGGATCTTACAATAGCACACCAGAACAGATATTAAAAGAAGAGTAGATAAAACTAGACTCTTGCTGAGCTCCAGAGGTGTGGAAATTGGTTTATTTTACAGATATGCTGACCTGACAGATGTGCACTGTGAAATCTCCCTCTTCTACAGTTTTGTCTTTGTTTCTCCAAAGTGACACAAGGGAGGCCAAGGAAATGAAAAGCGCTAAAAGTCCTGCGCAGGTACTGTATAAACAAGAGAAACAGCACATTAACCATCACATCACAGTTATGCAGCCATGATATAATACCATTTTCCAAATTAGATTTTTGATGAACATGCATTGCTAGCTGTAAGCCAGTGTTACTTTGTTATGTTCCTTACAGTGTGTATACAATTATTAGATTCTAATTATTTTTTGCACATTTTGCAATGAGACATTTGTTATACGACTCCGGTAGTGACATCCCTGTGCTGAGGTTCACAAGTCTGCAAACTGCTACAGCAAATAAGAAGGCATCTCACACTCTCTATTGTTTTTATTAATTTTAAAATATGGAGAGAACACAAAGGAGGAGTAGGAGCACCTTTGTTTTAAACCAACGATATTGCTAATACACAGAAAAAAACGGGTCCATGTAGCAATTCTAAAGACAAGTAGTGCTGAAAAGAAGACCAGAAGGTCATAAGTCAGAGGCACCCAATACAGTAGGACTGCTCTACTTTTGTTTAGGATCACTGCAAACTGGGTCAAGAGGATTAAAAGGGCAGAGATGGTCCGCTCATTGTAGGTGGCAACAAGGACTAACTGAGGTGTCTTTTACAATTATCAGCAATGGTGGAAACATGCAACACTTCACATAGTGAAGTAGCACTCAATTCATCTGTGTTTTATCACTTTCCATGCAGGAAATAAAAAAAGCACACAAGGGGTCTAATAAACAAAGTAGTTCCTGGTGCTCAGCTCAAATGGCCTAATTAATAAAGTCTTCAGACCTGGAAAGTGCTCTGTAGCTAAATAACATAGTACACAGAGATCTCGAAACCATCACAAGCAGAGCCCAGTACCCGAAGGTCACATTTCAGGCAGGCCCTGCAATCATTCAGTCCAGCAGGGTCTGAGCACGACGCCTGGAGCTACTGCTGAGGATACACTGGTTTGGATCACTGCATATAGAGATGAGCTTCAGCAGCTTGTAGCTGACATCTTGACTGAAGAAAAGAAAGTAATCTTGAGAAAAGAAAAATGCTTAATAAAAATGGTTACTTTTCTCATAGAGAAAATACATCCATTCTCTTAGGACAATAACAAAAACTGAGGCATGCTGGAAGTATGAGTGGTTAAACCAGGCTGGATCACTGTTTTTTTAATTGCCAGTTTCCAAATCCTTCTGTAGGTGGAAGTATCATCCAATTTTCGCTAAATTCTGTGTCCCTCAACAAGACAGAAAATTATTTGCCAGGATCTACAAAAAGAGAACTCCTAAATGATTATGGGGGCGAGTCAAAAATTATCTACACTAGGCTTATAGTAAAACTTCTGTTGGCTGCACTGTCTTATCAGCGCTTTCCGTTCAAGGCTACTGTCTCCCCAGTCACTGCTGTGCAGATGTGAATGTGTTAGGTCAGTTTATTTGTAACTGCGGTGCGAGCAAAAAAAATGGATGCCCCACTTTTGATTTGCACAAAAGAAGAGCAGCGTGCAGTGATTAATTTTTTTGTGTCCTGAGGGTGTGCCTGGTCTTATCGAAGACTTTGTGCGCAGTATGGAGAAAGTGTTTTGTCGCAAAGAAGTGTGTATAAATAGGTAGCGTGGTTCAAGGAAGGTTGCACAAGTGTTAGCCATCAAGAAGGAGCCGGCCGCCCGTCCACGTCCACAGCTGACAACAACATTGAGCGTACAGGTGAAATGATTCTGTAGAATATACGAGTGACAGTGGATTATGTGGCAAATCAGAAAGCAACCCTAAGAGGACGAAGATTCACCTCTGGTAAAAAAAGTGAAGAAGACAGCGGTGCATCCATGGCTCGCAACTCAGCCTACAACATTTTTTAATGAGGGAATACGTATGACAAATGGACAAAGTATATTGAAAAGCAAGGAGATTTTGTGGAAAAATTATGATTTTTTCTTTTCTAAAACTTGATCAAAATAAATTCTACAGCCAGAATACAGATCATTTTTGACTCATCCTCACAATTTAGCCGATTTCCTTGTAGAAACTTAACAGATTCTTCAATGCTGAAACTGAACGTGTGCTTTGCCCATGCTGGGCAAATCAGCAACTTTACTTTAATACTGGCCCCTTACCTTTTACTCCCCTGGCACTCCTCTCAGCCTTTGGAATGAAGAGCAGATGTTCTGTAAAAGTCAAGTCAAGATTTGGAGCTTACACAGGGCTGAGGACTCTTTTTTCTGCCTTCATTTGGCAGTACCAGGTCCTTTAGTGGGCCATTGCCAAACACCATTTTTATTTTCTTATGGCTGTTTTATTATTTATTGTATTATTCCTGATACACAAGGGTAATTATAGTGGATTCTGTCTTTAATGGAATACATTAAGAAAAAGACAGACAGACAGTGGACGGGTCCAATAGCCAACCTGTGATTGGCTATTGCATTTTGAAATAGCCAATAGCAGGTTTGCTACTGTTTTCAGTCACTACAGTATGATCTTACCTCCGTTAAATAGTAGAGGGGGAAGCGGAGCTGGCAAAGGCTGCGTAGCTGCCAGCGGGAGATGGTGGGGTGCGAGTGGGGTGGTCTTGGCAATGGGGTGATGTGGGGAAGCGGATTTACCTCCGCAGTGCAGCAGGCGTCCAGGCTGGAAACAAGTAAATGACAGCTGATGGTAGCAAGATTATGCCACCGGGAGCTGATTGTAAGCACAGCAAACATTAGAGGTTGCAACATTTAGCCGGCTATTGGCTATTGCTATTTAAAATAGCCAATGGCAGGCTGGTTATTGCTCCCAACCACTATGGATCAGAGGAGCAGACCTGGTGACACTAGGGGTTTAATATAACCCTACTGTCACATTGAAGAGAACCTGTCACCTCCAATGTGCTATCACATAGGGGGCTTGCGAGCCCCCTATGTGATAGCACAATGGAGCCAGGTACAAACACTCAACACTGATCACTGAGTGTTTGTAGATAATTGAGGACATGGTATGTGTACTATATTCTCCATTATGAATGAATGGGAGTGATCTGCATCACCTCCTGTTCATTCATAGTTGTAGTTATAGTAAACATACTATGTTCTCATGTTATCAATGAACAGGAACACTCATAGAGGATTCCTGTTCATTGATAACAGGGGATACAGAAAAAGAGATTAAGGACTCTGTGTCCTCAATCTCTTTTGCTATTTTAAAAGGGAAATATCAGGGGTCTGTTTAGACTCCTAATATTTCCCCGAAGCCCCTAAAAGTAAAGTAAAAAATAAAAATATTTAATAAAAAATGAATTAATATAAAAAAATGAAAAAGTTTATAAAAAATATTTGAAAAAAAATAAAATAAACATTTTCGGTATCGGTTTTGGCCTGACAATTTTTTTTATTTTGGTTTCTTTTCGGTTTTAAAATATCCATTTCGGTGCACCTCTACTTTTTATTGAGATTGACATGTGAGGGTGACATGTGAAGTGCAAAGTGAACTGAGTAGAAATCAGAGTGAGCAGAGGAATGACCCCATCAGTATGCTACTTTCTTCATTGTCCATTCATCAGGTTGAGGGGCAAAGAGATGACACCACTTTTTTCCTTACTGTAACAGAGAAAGTGGTGTCATCCTCATGATTGTGTGTAATAGGACTGTGTACATCTCAGGGTTGAATAGATACAAATGTAAATGATTTGTTAGATAAAACAGCTCTCTTAAATGCATTGTTTTCTATGTATTTAGGAGTTTTTTTTACATATCCCATCTATGAACTATTTTGCCACAATTCAATCAAACTTCAATCAAAGTTTTCTCCATTAGATACTTTCAGAACATCATTCCACCCAAATTAAAATGATTCTTTACATTTGTTGAGGCAGGGAAGCCAGGATAAAAGGACTACCTGGAAAAAAATATATTTTTAAATATATAATTTTTTAATAATTATATTATATTTATATCCATAAGCGTGGATTATACATATTTTAACTGTCTAATCTAAGAGCATAAATAAGCTGTACACTAACACATAACTTTACGCTCAATTATGGCTTGATCACAGAGCTAAAAGTACAGTTATCATTTAAAGCGGGCCTTTACCCCCTTTGACTAAAAATCACCTCAGCATACAGCTCTGCATGCTGATATGAAATCATCTTACATTCATTAGTTAAACAAACATATTTTTAATTTCACCCCGCCGAGACGTCACTGCGCATGAGTGTGACGTCACCACGCGCGTGCGCGATGATGTCATCGCGCAAGCACGGCGGTATTCTGATACCTGCCGGCGGCCATCTTGGTGATGGATGCCGGTAGAGAGAGGAGGGGACAGTCACCCGGCGGGATAAGGTATGCCGCCGGGTCCCCTCCTCTCTCCTGATACTGTCGGGCGTTCGGTCCATGGCCGAGCGCCCGACTTTTCAGAGGGGGGTGACACCAAAATGACCGTAAGTCATTTTGGTGTCACCCCTCCAATGGTGGCACCTGGGTGCGGGCCGCACCCCCCGCACCCCCCTTGTGACGCCACTGCATTGGACTACTGCACGGATCTGGAATAAATACTGAATACAATGCAAACCAAGACTCAAATAAGAATACACACGACTCTTGTTTTATACAATATTTGCTTATCCTGGAGTCCAGCTTTAAATTGCACTAATACAGTGTAGAAGATACTCTACATTGCATTCATATTTTTAGAGCTCATATATTCTATACATTGTACAGTTAAAAGGCCAGCACTGTAACATTTTAAAATATAAGAAAAATTACAATTATTCTTTCAACAAAAATATTAATAAATTCAATGGAATACTGTGTAAAAATTAAGTAAATTGAGCTCAGAAGCCGGCAATGTCCCCTTTAGCAGAAATTACTTGCTGTATGCATTTTGTTTAAGTGCCCACCAGTCTCTTATATCAACTGAAGTTTTTGACTACTTCTCCATGCAAAATGACATAGATACAAAGTTGTTGAGGTTGAATAAAGACACAGGTCCAACATTTCCTCAGTTACAAGATATTTGTGGGTTTCCTTGCATGAACTGCATGTTTTACACCCATTACACAACAATTCAATGGGATTCAAATCAGGGCTTTGAGTAGGTCAGTCCATTAACCTTAATTTATTATTTGCGAGCCATTCATTTGTGGGTTTGCTAGTGTGCTCTGAATCATTATCATGCTGAAAGATCAATTTTTGATAAAACTTCAGCTTTCAGAGAGATGTCCACACATTGTTATTGTCAGGGTACCATGCACAGGCGTCCTCACACCACATACAGGTACCTACGCAGGATGACCAAATTAATATGACCACACTGGATGAGGTTATTCACAAGGTTTATTTGTTACACAGCAAACAAAACTACAAACCCCCTCAAGTTTAGCAGTGAAGTAACAAAACCACTGTTGGACCAAACACACCTACAGCCAGGGGGGACAGCAACAAGGAGGGGTAACAGGACTGCAGATAGACAGCAGGCCTCAGGATACAGGAAGAGTGGTCAGGTAACAAGCCGGGTAGTTAACAGGAGGGTAGCGCGGTACAGGAACAGGATTCAAGGAGAGTGGTCGGGTAACAAGCCGGGTCGGTGACAGGTTTGCAGGGTTCAGGATGCAGGGCACAGGACATGGGAGTCAGTCAGGTGCAGGCGACGCAATAATGAGCCACCTTCCTGACTGCAGGGAGGGCCTGCACCAACACACAAAAATGACATGTTACATAGCATTGCTAAATTCGGAGTGAGAGCAATAATTCTAGGGCCGTCAATCACTAATAACACTAAACTAATGAGGGGTAAAAGCTTTTAAATTGTCGCTTTTGCGCAATTTTGGTTATTGTCTTTTTTTGTAATTTCCCGGGTGCGAGCAATTTTAAGGGTTGACTTGTTTGGCGTCTATTTACTCGAGGTGACCCCATCTTTTATATGTTACAAAAAAAGTGGTTAGTAATAAATGTTTTATAACATAATGTAAGGGAAAAGTTATTTTTTGGTAATTTTTCCTTAATATAGAAAAAAATAAAAACTCCAGTGGTGATTAAAAATCACAAAAAGAAAGCTCTATGTGTCCCCAAAAAAAGAAAGAAAAATTTATTTTAGTACAGCGTTGCATGACGGAATAAATGTCAGTCAAAGTACCGCAGCGCTGAATACTGAAAATGGCCTGGAAAAGAAGGGGGTTAAATGCTTTATTGAATACCCCCCAGTGTGTTTTAGTTAGGATAATGTCTATAATAATTGTAATGTCTTCCTTGTATTGGAAAGCGCTGCCCAAACTGTTGGCACTATATAAATCCTATACAATAATAAAGTAAAATGTTCACTATTGCAGACATCCCAACCTGCAAAACCTTATTGCAGGGAGGTTCCCGTCTCATTTCAGGGAGGTGCCCTTTCTGTTTTTTGGGGGTTTTTTTTACAGCGGCCGTCGTCAGAATATAAAAGAAATAATTATAATACGGTATACAAAACACACACACACACAGAGTAAAATAAAATCCATAAATCCATATACCAATAATACTATATATTTATATATACATCAGATTTGTGAATTGATGTTCAAGTATCTGTCAGTGTAAAGGTCACAATTTATTAGACAGCCCAAGACCTTTTTAAAAAAACACTGAGGAGTAAAGTCCCTGATACACAGTTGACTAGTTGCTATGGGCAGCAAATGAAATAAATGTTCTCTATAACTAGACAACCAGGACATATAATTGATTCTATATTATCCACAAAGGGTTAACAGCACTCTCTCAACCCTGCAGCAGTAGATCTCAGTGCCTGTACCTGCTCTCAATAGTAGTCTATGTCCGCTCTCTCTGTGCAGCAAGTAGCTTCTTCCTTCTGAGAGCCAAGCCTCGTTCTGAGGCTACTCTAGAGATCACATGACCTTCCTCCAGGATGCAAGCCTCACTCTGAAACTTTACCCACTGATATCTTACTGGAAAGGTTTACTCAGAGCAAACCTTTCAGGGAGAAAATGCCTCTCTCGCGGACATCAGGGAGCTGCTGTCCAAAAGAGGGAGACTCCCTGAGATCCCTGCTATTGTTTATGGGCCCTACTAAGACGACAAATGACAAATAACACACAAATATGTGGTGTCACATTGAATGCCAGGAATCAGAGAATAATTTTTTTTTTGGTGCTGGGTTATGCAATATGTAGTCAGTGGCATCCCCAGGCTGGGGGTCCCTCGCTGGGACTTCATCACAAAGACGTCACGGGCACTTAACTGTTGGCGGCCATCTTGGTGATGGGCACCGTTGTTCTGTCGAGGTGGCCAACTCGTCGAGATCTCCAACTTGTCCCTTGTAGATTTCGCCGAGATGCGGCAGCCGTCAGTTTTCGCAATCCCCTTTGACTTCTCCAGTTGCCTGTGCGGCTTTGAAATTTTCATCGAGTTCTATAACTCTCGTCGGTGCATGTGGCATCAGGTGCAAGCGCACTGCCGCAGATTGCAGAGCTTGATACTTCTCTTGGGTGGTTGTGCAGGTGCACTGATGGGAGTTGGAGGTCTCGACGAGTTGGAGAATTTAATAGAACACCGGCAGAGAGAGGAGGGGACGTTAATTCGGTGGGATAATGTATGCTGCTGGGTCCCTTCCTCTTAGGGTTGCCACCTTTTCTTCGAGCGAAACCCGAACACTCTAGCAACGTGCGGACATTTTTTGGGGAGAATGAGTCGCGGCTTCATGTAAATAGTGCCACTCATTTATATGTAAATATCACAGTTGAGACTATTTTCAGTGGGGGGCCGGTAGCTCCTATCTTAATTTTGGTTGCCCCTGTCTGCCTGACATCTTGTGTCCGGGTTTCTGCAGCCATGAAACCTGGATACAGCATTCAAAACCCGGACTGTCCGGGTGAATCCTGGACAGGTGGCAACCCTACTTCCTCTCCCATGCAGCTGTCGGGTCTTAGTCCATGACAGAGTGCCTGACTTTTTAGAGGGGGGGGCACAACCCCATTGTTACGCTTAGGTTTCACCTTTGTGATTAATGGGCTAAAGCTGTTTGTTTTCAGGAAAGTGTGGGGGTGTCTGGCTATAGAGCAGACCTCCCATTTGAACATAACCAGTACAACAATCCGAAAGATGGATGTCCAGTTTAGTACAGTATAAAAAAAAACTTTGGCAGTAAAAAAAAAAAGTACTTTTATTATTAGAGCTCTTCACACAAAGCTAAAAGAGGGACAAATGAGAGGGAACGAGGGACAGAGGCATATGGTTTCTATTGACAGGCAGTTGGGAACTAGGGCTAACCAGTCAGGCTGCTTCAAAAACGTTCGGTAACAACAAACACTACAAAGCCTGTCGGGAAGCAGACCGGAAGTTGCCGCTGTGTGTATACCACGCATCATCGTGGAAGGAACGCTCTCCCTGATTGGCTGGTGTCTTTAGTAACAGAGCTACGCTTGGGGGCGGGACTTGGTAACTGGCAGCTAGGTCCGGGTCGTGATGCCCCTGGGTGGGCACTGAACGCTCTATGGGGTGCAGATGACAGCTTGGTCTGTGTGTCCTGTGGACACGGCATGGGCTATCGGTGCACAGGGCAGCTCGCTGTAACCCCGGCAAGATGAAGAAGTTCTTCGGGATCGGTAAGAAGAAGAAAAGCGGGCCCTCTCCCAGCCCTTCGGAGACTGGCAGTGTGCTCTCTGTGGGCTATGAGCTGAAGGATAAGGAGCTGAGCAAGTTACACCGTGCAGCGTCCGCCGGAGATGCCCCCAAGATCAGGCAGCTGCTGCCCAAGCAGGACATCAACCAGCTGGATAAAGAGAACCGGTAAGGACCATGCAGGATGGGAGCACACATTCCTCATCCATCATCAATGCACAGGATGGGAACTTTTCCTAGCACTGCATCTGTTGTAGTATGCCTGCATGCCATGGTTTCTGTCATTGTTACACAGCAACAACATTATCAGTGCAGCTTTCATGGTTTTCAACTTGTAGTTCTAGGACAGTTTGAGAACTTCCGATTGTTCTGGGGAGCGAGCGATGACATGCTGGGGGGAATTTATCAAAACTGGAACAGACGGAATCTGGAGCAGTTGCCCACGGCAGCCATCAGCATCTCTCTTCAATTTGCTCAGATAAGATATGAAAATGAGACGGAGAAGTTGATTGGTTGCATTGCAAATCTGCTCTAGATTTTGTCTGCTCCAGTTTTGCCAAATTACCCCCACTGTGTATACAAATCCGGAGTAAAGTAATTTGCAGCAGAGTGCCGTTGGTTAGAGTGCCTTCTGCTTTGTAGCACTGGGGGGTCCCTGGTTCAAATCCTGGCCAGGCCACTATCTGCAAGAAGTTTGCATGTCTCCCTGTGCTGTGGTCGGTTTCCTTTGGGTACTTCGGTTTCCTCCCACACTCCAAAAGACATGCTGGAAGGTTAATTGGCTCCGGTCTAAATTAGCACTATATGTATGCATGTGAGATGTTGACTTTACTCTGTAAGCTCCTTGAGGGCAGGGACTGATGTGAATGTGTACTGTGTAAATTGCCAGAACTATATAAATACTAGTCCCTGTTCCCGAAGCAGTCGGCGCTCTCCTATTTTTCCCCTTTGTTCTGGCTGTTGACTCTCTCTCTGCGTTCTCAGGTCTATGGAACTTGCATTAGACATGACTATGTTGCCATTCCTTAGATCGATTGCGCATGGGGAAAACAATTTGCAGGGACTGGCCTATCGGTCCTTAGGGAGCTGGTCGGAGCAGGGATTAAGTAAGTAAATCTGCTTTACTCCAGTCCCTAGACATAAATGAGTGGGTAGCCCCACTGCAAGTGTCTTTTTTTTTTTTTTTGCCTGGAGATGGGCTTTAAAGGGTAAGGGCACTTTTAGGCCTCTTTCACATGGACGCCAGCAGTTCCATCGTCTAGAAATATCCCCTGCTAAGTCAGTTTAGAACCGAGACCGATGTCACATGTGACATACATGCTGGTTCAGATTTCTCCTCCATTTTGGGATGGTCCAAGGTCCATACCAAGGCATGGACCTTTTAGCTATGGAACTGGAAGAAGTTTTCAATGGACTACAAGTGGGGTGATGTCACTACGCTTGTAGTCCATTGAGAATACGGGTCCCTTTGCAGCAGTGGCAAGACGGGACTTGTAGTTTATTTATTCAGAGATCCTGTGAATGGATGGCATGGCTGTGTGGACAAAGCCACGCACAACTGTGCCAAATTCAAACATGGTGTTAAAGGTGGAATTAACCTTTAAAATGAACTTGAAGCAAGGCTTTGCACAGTAAAGTATTCACATATTTAGAACAAGCAGTGAAATGACTTTAAAACAAGCTCCCTTTCACCTCTGTAGTTATAGGCATTGTCGTAAAATACATCTTTAAAAGTCACAACTGAGGCATTGAAATCGCAGCCGATCTTGGCAGCCTGCCAGCTTTCTAATTAAACACACTGGGGGTATTCATCAAAACTGGAACCGATAGAAACTGGAGCGGCTGCCCCTGGCAACCAAGCAGCTTCTCTTTTCAGTTTCTTCAGTTAAGATTTGAAAATGAAACAGAGAAGCTGATTGGTTGCCATGCACAGCTGCTCCAGATTTTGGCTGCTCCAGTTTTGATAAATTTACCTCACTGTAGTTATTTCACACCTGCGAATGGGGCTGATGGCATGAGTCTCACAAATTCTTTTATGAGACTTAGGCTGGGCACACACCTTACAACCATCGCAAGACTTTTGTCTTGCGATGGTTGTAAGGTACTTTAAAAAACGTACGATCTGCCCATCTTGCATAGGCAGATCGTACTTGCGATGATCGCAAGCCACGCCCCCTGAGGGGCGGGCTTCCGATGACCGCAATGCCGAACGGGCAGTGTGCGCTTGCGCACACCGGCCCGTCCAGCTTTTATCTCACGAACATGCTACACACCCTCCGAACATCGTACGATGCTCGGCGGGTTTTGAAACATGTCCGTAAGTTTTAAAGTCGTGCGACCTTACAGTAGTAGAGGTCGCACGGCTTCCACACACCTTACCATAATCGTACGATCGCGGGATTTCCCGCGATTATCGTAAGGTGTGTGGGGACCTTTATGCAATCAGCTGTGAGCAGGAGATTCAACACAATGACAACTGCCACCTTCTCCAGCTGTTCACATGCAATTGCGCATGCTGCGATTACCTGAGGATGACCACACCTGGATGCAAACAGTCCAGAGATGTAGATTAGGCAACCAGTCCCGGTAGGAAACATCTCAAATCTCTGGTACATTTTTCTTCATGCTATAGATCAGCCTTTCTCAGGCAGTGTTCCTTGAGAAGGGAACCGTGGCAAATTGATCTCCTGCCAACACTGACCATCAATGTAAGGGGACACCACCCTTTTCACTGCCTGGGTTTCTTTTCTGATGATTGATTTAAGTGACAGTACAGTCAGGAGTTCAATCCTAAAAATGCATTCACGTACTTTAACTATTAACAAAAATGCATCTTATTTGTGTATCACTCGGCTGTAGATCCTCAAATCATCTTTGAATTGGTGCTGACACTGTCCTTCCTTCTGGAGGGGGGCTACTTATGTTCCCCATGGTCCCTGTGTGTGTTGTAAAGTGGCCACAGCTCCAAGCTCGCTCCTGTGTTGGACTACAATATCAATATCTCAAAGTGGTAAACTAAACATAAGATTTTAGTCCATCACAGGAGTGAGCTTGGAGCGGTGGCTACTTAAAAACACACGGGGAACAAAAGTAGCCCCCCTCCAGAAGGAAGGACAGTGTCAGCACACATTCAGAGATGATTTGAGTATCTACAGCTGAGTGATACACAAATAAGATACATTTTTGTTAATAGTTCAGGTACTTGAATGCATTTTTAAGATGTAACTCCTGGAGTTTAGTGTCACTTTAAGGAAACCTCCTCTTTTTATTCTTTTATCTGAAACGCTGTATAACCGACTGATTGTGCTAATGTACCATGACTGGTAGGTCCTTTAGTGCTTAGTGGGGATTCCTAAGAGCTGTTTCAAGGGTTCCTCCACGGTTAAAAGAGCTGAGAAAGGCTGATCTATAGCATGGTGGCTCAGTACTTAACACTTTTGCCTTGCAGCACTGGGGTCCTCCTGGCCAGGGCACCTCCATTTTCTTGTTCTCCCTGTGCTTGTGTGGGTCCAATCCAACACGCTAAAGAAATGCTCTTAGGGCAATTGTCTCCTGTGTTGTTGGTACACGTACTGTATGTATGTGAGATAAAGACCATAGATTGAAAGTTCCTTGATGATAGGGACCGATGTAAATGTACTGTATGCAAAGTGCTGTGTAAATTGCCTGCGCTCTCTAAATGCCTGTAGTAAGCACAGTATAATGTTTCTATATTTTGTTCTTAACCCTAATTAACTGTAATCAGATCACTCGCATTGTTTGTGTGTTTTTTTTGCAGTTATTCCCAATGTTGTGCAACCCGTTTTTCATTTGAAATGTTAATGACCATAGTGCTTCCAGCTCACACTTCCCTTGTATCAGTGGGCCATCTTCAGCGTACTCGCTGCCATGGTAACCACTGCAAACATCTTTTGTCAGATATCCAAGGTGCTCATTAATGTGCCCTCATATGTCTTGTCACAGAATTGACCCTCTCACTATTGTTTTGTGTGTTCACATTCCTCACACATTTTTTTTTTCTAGTATCTCTTACTTTAAAATACATTTATTTATTTTTTATGTGATTTTTCTGCATATTTAGTTAAATACAGAACTGTATTTGTAAATAGAAGCAATGAATAAGGTAAGGAGTATAAATAACGCTAATAAACCAAAGCATTGCATGGATAATTTTTACAATCTTTATGTAGACCTGACTTATTAAAGCAGACGTGTGTGCAGGCTGCTGAAGGTAATTCTAAGATTAGCATGGTATTATCTCTATGGACCTTGTAAGAAGGGCATTTTTGCCAGCTGCCTATTTATTCTCACTCAGTTCATTTGCTTTATTTTCCCTAGAGCCTTGTTATATTGTTATATAGTACCCATACAACAATTTCAATATCTTTTAAACGCTAAGTATAATAAAGCCGCTTCTTGAAGTGGAAGTAAACTGCTGATAAAAAATTTAAAAAAAAAAACATTGGGCCCCAGGAGCTGTTTGCCATCATGTGCTAGTATACACGGCATATTAGCACATTATGGCATTATGACTTGCCTGCAGAAGTGATCCTCTCCAGCACTGTGCTCCTCTGTCACCTGTGCTTTCTTTGTCTCCCTGTCCACTTCCAGGTTCTGTGTCTTCAGCTCCTTGATTGGCTGGGCCCTAATGACATAGCTCCTGCGCATGTACACAGGAGGTACTTCATCTTGGCAAGAATCCTGCTGAGACTGTGCACCGAGTTGTGCATGCAACCTACAGGCTGTGGGTTTTTTGTTGTTTTTTTTTAATAAGGAAGCAGGAATGCTTCAGGCTAGGTTCACATCTGCACTACAACGCACGACACCCGGGACGCGCGTCCAGGGTGTTGTGCTTTCCTGCACAATGCAGGCAGCGATTGCCGCGTGGCCCCATTGATTTCAAAGGTGACATCCGCACGGCAATCGTAGAAAAAAGGTACTAGTATTTTATTTTTGCGATACATGACGCGTGGCTGTTTTAGCCGCGATTGTGTTCAGAAGCACGGGCGGAATCGCGGCGGGAAACCGTGCAATACACCTGGAGCGACTGGGGTGCCATTAGAAAATAATGGCACCCACAGCGCGATCGGTTCACACCTAGGCGACTCCTGACTGCATGGCAACCCGCGCGAAATCGTGCACGATTGCCGCGAGGTGAGGTGTCGCCTAGGTGTGAAGTTGGGCTTTTAAATACAGATGTGTGAACTATTTTAACTGCCAAAATATGTCTTTATTCTGTGTAGCAATTCTTGTGACTTCCTGCCAGGCAGCCTGTCTAGGTTGGTTGCATCACTTTTCTTCAGTACATTTCAAAAAGAACTCCCTCAAATGTTTTTTGGAAAGGACTGGGGGAAAGAAGTGTAATGTGTTAATTAGACTTACCTCTGTGCTATCCTTTCTGATACGTGCTTGGAGCTTCACACTGCAAATGGCTAACTACTTCTGGTTCATGATTGATGTTACAGCTAGTGGACCCCATAGAATTTTGTAGTGCCATCTACTTCAGTTTGAAAATATGCTTAGAAACCGGAAGCAGTCAGCTGATGTACTCGCAATGAGGTTCTCACATCGCTGTATCTGGTAAAGGACTTTGATGTTCTGAAGTTCTTTACAGTACAGCTTGGCAATCCACCCACCAACCTCAGCCTGTGATTGGATAGTAAAGGCACAGAAGCACACTTATTATTATACAGGATTTGTATAGCGCCAACAGTTTGTGCAGCGCTTTACAATAGAAGGAGGACATTACAATTCAAGACAAGATGGTAAGGAGGGCCCTGCCCATGAGGGCTTACACTCTAAAAGGGAGGGACAAGGGATGCATGAGGATGTAGCTGTGTGGGGATGAGTTGTTTGAGATCATCTACCTGGAAACATGTTTTTATAATGATTGGTTTTGAGTGTTGTTTCTCCCTTTTCCACTCCAAGTCCTGCTGGCCAGCATTAAGTCAGGCTAATATCAAGATAATTGTAGACAAAAAGGGGCCTATTTGTAGTGGAGCCAGGATACGCTATGTGCATTCTTCTGGGTACCAGGTAGGGGAATTTATCAAAACAGGAGCAGACAGAATCTGGAGCAGTTGTCCATGGTAACCAATCGGCTTTCATTTTCAAAACTTGATTGAACAAACTGAAGATAGAAGCTGATTGGTTGCCATGGGCAACTGTTCCAGATTCTATCTGCTCCAGTTTTGATAAATTCCCCCTCTATGGTGCCCAGAAGAATGCAGATAGCTTCAATTCCACCCAAAGTGTTTTTAAGCCACACTGCACCTGTATTTTACAAGCCATTTCTAAAATGCTGGCCATGGTGTGAAGCGTGCAGTGTCACACTCAGTTCTTGCTGCTTGATTGGAAGAGGGGTCAGTCACATTACGCTGCTCTGGCTTTGTGGCTCCTTCATTACTGAGATTTTAGGTGGCTGACAGTTAACTTTCTTCTTTTTTTAAGAAGAACTCTGGGCAAAACTTGTATTAACCCTTGCAGAGGGGCTACCCCCCACATTGTAAGGTTCAAGTGCTTCTTTTTGTCTAGGTGTAAAAAAAAAAAAAAAAAAAAAAAAATTATACTCACCTGAACCACCGAGCCGGCTGTCTGCTTCTCTGGTCTCTGAGGCTTGTCTCCTGCTACGCTGCAGGATTTGGAATGTTCCTCAGTGTCTGTCTATACACTGTATAAAATGTGATGATTTACGGGCCCTTAGACCGCTACAACAGAGGGGGAGGGAGGCTCCAGGGACCAGTCTATGAGCAAGACGGCTCTGATGATCAGGGGAGTATAACTTTGTTGTTTTTTTAGCACCTAGACAAAAGTGAGCAGTTAACCCTTGCAATGCGGGTGTAGCCCCACTGCGAGTTCTTGTTTAAGGAAAGACTATAAAAAGATATATTACTCTGGCCCAACATATTGTCAGGGTTCATTCTTGATGACATTTGCATCGCTTTCTTTTATTTGTATAATCTGCTGAAGAAGTTATAAACAGTTGTGCTTCAGACAATGAACCTTCCTATTAAAGGAGAACTATGGGGTCAGTGTTTTTCCCCATAGTTCTCCTTAGGGTAACGGGAGGACGCAAACTAGCGTCCTCCCGTCACCCTAAGCTCAGTATACCGCGAGCTACAGCTCGTGGTATACTGAGACGCCGCAGCCGGAGCGGATCACGACTTAGATGACGGGATCCGCCCAGCTGCGTGAGTGACAGCTGGCTCTGCCTATCTAGAGGCAGAGCCAGCTGTACCCGCCCCCTCCCCGTCCGTTCCGCCAGTCAGCGCTGGCAGATCGGAGCGGGGAGAGGGGAATCCAGCCCCTCCCCCTGTCACGGCAGAGAGCCGTGACAGGATCGAGAGGCGAGCGAACCCGGTATGTGTTCGCTCACCTCCCGATCTACTGAGCCGACCTGTGACAGTCTCATTGTCACAGGTCGGCTAGAACTATGAGGTGAGTGAAAAGCACTCGCCTCATAGTTCTCCTTTAACCATACTGTTTACACAGAATTCTCCAGGGCAGCTTATTAGCTTGTCAATTCACAGTAAGTGCAATTTGTTTTTTTTCCTCTGTGTTTACAGAGATGTATAACATGGTTGTTATAGAAACCTGTGACCAACATGCATATTCGATACTTAACACTGACACAGTAACCATGCACCAGGTTTGGATTCCTTGGACACACATTGCATTGTAATGTTCATTTGTAGTGTATGTGCTGCTGTCCATGTATTACTCTTTATCGTCATTTTAAATTCGGTCCTACTTTTAATTGTATTTTTTTTACAATTGGAAATATGCACCACATAATTTTTTTTTACAGAGATTTGTTTTTACTTTAACATTAAAGATTTTGTTTTATGTTGACAGGGTTAAAAATTAATTTAATACAAATGAAATAATAAAACACGGAAATTTAAAATGGGCACTCTATGTTGCAGTAGTAAAGTTTTTTTGTTTTGTTTATTTCAGGTATTTAAATAGCGACGTCAATTTACACAGCGCTTTACATCAGTCCCTGCCCTCAAGCATCTTGCAATCTAAGTTTCTTAATGTACATGCATATAGGGCCAATTTAGACAGGAGCCAATTCAATAGCATGTCTTTAGAGTGTGGGAGGAAACTGGAGTACCCAAAGGGAGAACATGCAATCTCAATATATCTATGAACTTTATTGGCCTAATGTAAACACTCTCCTGAATTATTGTTGTTACACAGCAATGCTTTTTGCTTAATATGTTGATTGTTTGACCCTTTTAGCTCAAGCCTATCAGTCTGCCCACATTTAGTTAAAAATAGTGATGCAAGCTGCCTGGCTTCCTGTTTTCAGTACGCGATACCGAAAAACCGGTATCGGTGCATCCCTAGTTAAAAAAATTAAGTGACACTAAACTCATGCGTTAAATCTTAAAAATACATTTCAAGTACCTTTTAACTATTAACAAAAATGTATCTTATTTGTGTATCACTCAGCTGTATTTGTGTGCACAAATATTTTGTTTCCCATGGTCCCTGTGTGTGTTGTAAAGTAGCCATCGCTCCAAGCTCACTCTCATGATAAGACTATAATCTCAATACAAATCAATAAACTAAATGTGAAATTGTAGTTCATCACGGGAGCAAGCTTGGAGCTCCCCAACACACACAGGGACCATGGGGAACAAAAGTAACCACCCTCCAGAAGGAAGGACAGTGTCAGCAGCAATTCAGAGATGATTTGAGGATCTACAGCTGACTGATGCTCAAATAAGCTATTTTTCTTTGTAATTAGTTAAGATACTTGAATGCATTTTTAAGATTTAATGCCTGAGTTTATTGTCACTTTAAAATAAGTGGCCATGGACCTGTTCACATATTTGCATTTTCCTTCACTGATGCATAATAACTCAATGTGCTCTCATCAGAAATACCCAATAAATTCCCTATAAACACAGGAAATTTAATGTAACTTCTGTAGTGATGGTGTAATTGCTGACCTGTACGTCTAACCTCTTTCAGGACACCTTTGCATCTTGCTTGCGCTAATGGACATCTGGATGCCGTAAAATTGCTAGTAGAAAGCAAGGCTAAGTTGAATCTTTGTGACAATGACAGTCGTACTCCTTTGATCAAGGTACCCATTTCACGTATTACAAATTTCGATAGTCTTCTGGTAAATGGTACAAGAATTCTTCTATAACATTTTTTTTTTCTTTCAATAGTCTATACAGTGTCAGCATGAACACTGTGCTACTGCTTTGTTAGAGCACAACGCCGACCCCAATATTGTAGATGTTAATGGAAATTCAGCTTTTCATCTTGCTGCTCTTATTCCATCTCTGACCATAGCAAATCAGCTACTAGAACATGGAGCTAACATCAATGCTGTAAATAAAGTAAGTATTACTTTGTGTGGACTAAATTGTGAACTAATGTATGTTGAGCAGCCAAAAGATAAAAGCTCCAATTTTCAAATTGTACTTTTATAGTGATTATTCTACAAGATGGAGAGGTACCGGTAACTTCAAAATGCTTATCAATTCAGAATGGATGTGTGCCATTATTCGTGTTCTCTCCAGAAAAGGTGAAGAAGCAGCTTACAAAATCAAAATATGCTATTCAGTATTAGGAGAACATAACATAATGGCATATACATTTCTAATATTTAGAGTGCATTAATAAAAGTATATATTAAGAGAGGCTCAGAATCCATGTTAGCAGTGATATTAAATACATGTAAGCTAAAATATTGGATAAGCTAACACAATTCCAAGAGAAGGAATTGCAGACATGCTTCAGAAGACAGAAACGTAAAACTGGAATCATTGTCCCTTTAAAAATTAAAGCCCCTGTAAATTAAGCTCCTGTCACATGCTCCATCCCCCAACTAGCAGATTTGGGCAATAAATTCATAATATGCTCACCTATTTGGGGCAGTCTCGCAGCAGCATGGTTGGAGCATAAAGGATGCCTATAGACCGTATTTTACTTATCAGAGGGCAAAATCACTTGGACTTGCAGGCCATGTGTAGGTACTGCTGGGCTGCATGTGGCCGACTTGCAGAGCAGCAGGTCAACACGGATGCCAGCAGGGACTGCTAAATCATCTGGTCAGGGAGCCTGGGAAGGAAGGGTCTAGAGGACCATTACTTCATGTCATTCGTTGGCTATTGTACTATTGTACGTAGATTTGCTGTGGGGTTTTTCTTTTTTTCCCCTCTGTGGGAGGGAGAGTTCTTTGAACCAAACTGACCCAAATCGCTTATAGTAAGTTAGTGAATCCCTACATCAATGGTTTCTGCTTTATAACACATTTTCTAAGCATCCACCTTATAAGGTTTTTTTTTGTAAGGTTATTGTAAAGTACCACCTGGTTGTGTGTGAGAAAGGTTGTGTGTCTTAGGAAAGCTATGCAGCTTTCCTAAGAAAGCTGCATAGCGCAAACCACTCCTATCGCTTCAGCAGCCTTGGATCTGCCTTCAAATAGCTCATTGGTAGAGGTTCTAGGAGAAGGTGACCCTCACTGGTTAACATAAGTTGAGTAGTTTAGGTAACCCTCCCTAAGCATAAGTTTACTAGTTTAAGGGGTGTCTCATTTGAATGGCAAAAGTGAAAAACTTCTTTAAAGAAAATGTAGTGTTTTGTACATGTTTATTTTTTCTTCTTTTCATAACTTTTTTAAGCCCGCTAAGTTTGCAGTATTGCATATAAATGTCATATATTCTCGATTTTTTTTTTTCAAGCCAGTAGGCTCCTTTTTTGATTGACAAGATAATATTTGCTTAAAAAACCTCCAAAAAACTATTGTATACAGCAGGGGTGCCCATAAGGTCACTGGTAGATCGCGATGTCCTCTCCTCCCGCCAGTGGGGCTTCTCTGGATCCCCGCTGCTCTCCCCATCTGTATGCAGCGGGGATCCGAAAAGAGATAGAGGACTTTGTGTCCTCAATTTCATTTTCTATTTTAAAAGGGAAATATCAGGGGGCTGTTTAGACCCCTAATATTTCCTCCAATAATGCGTTGCATAACCACTATCTTTGGTGCACCATGTATTATATGTTATTTGTAAAAGCCAATAATGCGTTGCATAACCACTATCTTTGGTGCACCATGTATTATATGTTATTTGTAAAATAAAGATTTTCTATTACATAGTTAGGTTGTAAAAGACACATCCATCAAGTTCAACCAAAATTAATAACAAATTGTATAAAACATCAAAATAGAAAAGTTTGTGAAAAGGACACCGCTCATATTTGTATGCCCAAACTCATCAGTCCCATCCAAAAGGCCGGGTGCTGGCCATCTTCGGCCGGATTAAGCCTCTTTGGCGAAACATGACAGAGCCTGTGGATCTTGTCATGCTTGTAACATTTTTAGACTCCTGGGAATTAAAGAAGAACTATGAGGAGTGCTTTTCCCCTCTGGATTCCCCCCTCCTCGCTCCGATGACTGGCGGAACGGGAGGGGGCGGGTACAGCTGGCTCTGCCTATACATAGGCAGAGCCAGCTGTCACTCATGCAGCTGGGCGGATCCAGACATAATTGTCGGGATATGCTTCAGCTGTGGCGTCTCAGTATACCGCGAGCTACAGAGCTTAGGGTGACGGGAGGATGCTAGTTTGTGTCCTCCCGTTACCCTAAGGAGAACTATGGGCAAAAGCCCTAACCCCATAGTTCTCCTTTTTAACTTTTTTTACATCAAGGTCCTGGCTGCTGAGTGCGGCTTTACATAAATTGGGTTACTAGCAAAACAAAATCAGTTTAAACATTTAAATACCATTATAGTTACTCTTTTTAAATAAGTGCAGTGTAATCCTAAATGTATTTTTTTTTTTCTTTTTTATATTCTTATTCATGTTTTGGTAGTTTGTGCTTACTATATTATGATAACCTCTATTTTTTTATTTTTGTTTTTAGGAGGGCTGTACACCACTTGTTCTCGCAGCTACTGAAAATCATCAGGAAATGGTTGAATTTTTAATTAAAGAAGGAGCTGATGTTAATTCAAAGGACAAAAATGGAAGGTAAATTTAAGGGTAGTACTTGTAATATAGAACTGTGATCAGAAAAGTAATATAGAACTGTGATCAGAAAAGAACATTTGTATCCCCAGCAAAGAACCACCATGTAGCTGGTTCTTGAAATATGAGGTTATATAAATAGGTTATGATAGTAAGATGAGTGAGATGACTGTTGCTAGTGCCACTTACAGGAACCTAAAGTAAAATCAATGGAGGATCATCACCAGGCAGATCTTCAAGAAGTAGGTTTATTTTATTCATGTTCGTTCAATTAGTATGGGCTTGCAGGCCCGTTTATAGGGATTTGAAGAATAGAACCATATGTGTTACCTTGAATTATCTTCAACAATCAGATCATAATGCCACCCTGTACTCTTATTAGATTATGCCAAGAACATTATATGGGTTTTCTTGTCTTCATGAGACTCTCTCATATCAAGGTTAGAGGACAGCTGTCTTGGCGTTGAACCTATTGTTCCTTAAAGGAACACTAAACTCAGGAGCTAAATCTAAAAATGCATTCAAGTACCTTAACTATTTACAAAAAAGTATCGTATTTGTGCATCACTCGGCTGTAGCTTCTAAAATCATCCCTGAATTTGTGTTGACACTGTACTTCCTTCTGCAGGATGGCTACTTTTATACCACATGGCCCCTGTGTGTGTGTTTATAAAGTACAAAACACAAAAATTCCCCAGCCCCAACCTGCCAGCCAGCCTGCAACCAAACAAGTAGCCCTGTCAACAGTATGCGTTAAAATCAGAGGTTTTAGTTGCACAAACTTTTGGCCAAAAATATGTAGAAGCCACACTGCCGCGCCAAGGCACCTCTGCAAAGTGTGGTCCTAACTCTATGTATCCGAGTCTCCAAGTGTGAGCATATTAATGAAGTTGATAGATTGCATGCAGGTGTACCTGGAGGTAGCCTACTCCTCCTAATAAGGTGCAGGGACGCACTGGGGTGCAACTAAAACCTCTGATTTTAACGCATACTGTTGACAGGGCTACTTGTTTGGTTGCAGGCTGGCTGGCAGGCTGAGGCGGGGGAATTTTTGTGTTTTGTATTGTTGTAAGCCTTCCCATTGTGCTCCCTGCTATAAAGGCTGGTTATGGATTCATGCATGTACCACTTCTTTCTAGTTTGTGTTATAAAGTAGTCACCTCTCCAAGCTCACTCCCGTGATGGACTAAAATCTTGCGTTTAGTTAGACTGTAACTTCAATACAAATTAGCTATCGCAGGAGTGAGCTTGGAGCGGTGGCTACTTAACATCACACACAGTGACCAAGGGGAACAAAAGTAACTACCCTCCAGAAGGAAGAACAGTGTCAGCATAAATTCAGAGATGATTTGAGGATCTACAGCCAAGGGATACACAAATAAGATAATTTTTTTTTAAATAATGAAGGTACTTGAATTTCTCATTAATGTGCCAAACATTTTTTTTATTAGTGACCAATGTGTCCTTGAGTGGGATAAAGGATATCCAAATAAGGATAAACGTAATATATGAAAAATTATTCCTATAACAATATTAATCAAAGTAAAAGTATATGTGTATATATCTCACATTAAACAAGTATAAATATCGATGTGGTCAAATATTACCAGTGACAAGTGTGCCGCAACTAAACAAAGTAATCGGGATGATGCAACCCCAATCTGGATAAACAAAATTCCAGATAAATAAACAGTGACATTTTGTGACTTTTTATGGTCAAAAATCAAACTCGTATAGTGATGAGTGCAATAAATGACAATTTTTAAAAAATATAATCGTCCTCCAAGTCCTTTATATAACGTGCTTGTGCTTTAAGTGATCTTCCTAGTGTCACGCACGGAGCCCCCCAGGGCAGTGCACACTCACCGCATCCAAATCTTTTTGCACTTTGTATAAAGCCTGAAGCAATACTTTCACTTGTATTAATATTCTTATAGGACTAATGTTTCATATACTGTATTACGTTTATCCTTATTTGGATATCCTTTATCTCACTCAAGGACACATTGGTCACAAATAAAAAAAAAATTGGCACATTAATAAGAGAAATATATAGATTTAAGCACAATAGGGGATTTAGCGCCGCAAAATCTATATTCATATCATTGGGACTGCTTAGTCTGTATTGTGGCTGCTTTATTTCCCATATAGTTAGTAGATTATCCACAAGCGCAGATCAATAGATTTTAGAAGGTACTTGAATGATTTTTAAAGTTTTAACTCCTGCGTTTAGTTTCACTTTAAGCCAAGGTCAGAAAATATGTTTGACTTTCTGTCTTTAAACTCTTGTTACCTCGATCTATAAGGCCTACATGTCCTACATGAAGTCTAGTTACCTTGAACTACAAAGCTAAATGTTCTACATGTTGCTTATTCATACAACTCTCTATTATATGTATATATTATATTTCAACTATAAGTCAGGACACTAATTGATGTAGGGCTGCAACAACTAATCGGCATAATCGATTATAATCGATTATTGAAAAAGTTGTCAACTTTTTCAATAATCGATTAATCGGCTTCGGATCAGTTGGCCCTGTTCACGGCTCCACACACGCTGCGCGCCGCACCTCCTCCAGCTAACTAATCGATTTTGAAAATAATCGTTAGCTGCAGCTCTAAATTGATGTGCATTATATAAATGTAGGACTTATTCGTTTACTTATTATTCTCAACAATACATTACTAATATGAAAGTAGAGGATTCATCTTAAATGTATCTATTATATGTAAAATGCTTTGCAAGGTTAAACCTTTCAGTAACCTAACTATAATAATATTAATAATAGTGTTTATACTGAATAATATCAATATGAAATATATTGGTTAATATCAAAATCCCACTACAAATCGTAGGTGATTATTTGCTGTAAAGAGTACCATGGCCTTTGGGGGGTGCCATTGTGGTATACAGCAAATCCAAGGCAGTGTGGAGGTACCTGCTAACTGGAGTAAGTGGCACTCTTCTTTCTGTCTCCTCCCTCTTCCTCACACAGACATTGCAAGGGGCAATACTTTCAATCCTTTCTTTAATTTTGTCATGACATTAATATGCTATTTCATATGTAGATTTTTTTAGGTTCTCCATATAGTGTTCAGCTATATTTCAGACAACAAAAATGAATCTGAGACTTGCTAAACTGTCCTGGAATTTAGTAAAATGAGGAAGTCTGTTTCACTTCAATGCTTCTTTATAGAATTCCCCAAAGCTGTTTCACTTATGATACTGCTGTCGCATCCCCAAGCACCCTGATTGACGACAGGGCCAGACAAAAAGCTGGGGAAAAAGTGTGGGGGAGGATGAATAGTGATGTTTGCCATCGTGACAGTTGTAAAATTCTTACTTTTTGTTTTACAGAACATCTCTAATGGTTGCTGCAGGCAATGGTCAGATCAGTTTAGTGAAGTATTTACTACAAAATAATGTTGATATCTTTGTAAAAGACGAGACTGGATGGACTGCTGATGATCATGCTGTTATGAATGGCCATCATGCGTAAGTTTAAAATGCTTGTTTTTCTTCATTCTATATTTTCTCATTTCTATACTAAACACACACAGTATTGGGCTTTATTTCTGAATTTGGAAGAGGAGTTTTTTTATTTCTCCCATTTTAGCATACAAAATATGAAAGTGTATATTTAATGGGCAGCACTGCAGTATGTGACCCATCAAAAATTACCTGCAATCAGTGCTTCCTCTCCCAGCCTGGGGATGGCCACAGTGTGTGCTATTTTACAGAACAGGCTTTGTACGAATGAGGGTTTTTCCCTGGTCAGTTTTTATTTATAAGACTGGCACAAACTGTCCCTCCGTCAGGGCATGACCCCTTCTGTGGAATACCGATTTCATTTGCTCAGTATACGCCTACTAAACAGACCAATGTGTGAGGTGTTTGTGATTTCAGGTGAGTATACACAGAAGTATATGTACCCTTTTTAAAGGAGTTTTCCACTTTGATCAATCAGTTGAATACTAGCACTAGAGCAGCAATTAAAACATACAGTATCAAACATCTCAAAATCTTCATCCATTCTACATTTCATCGGCATAAGCTCAGAAAAAAGATGTTGAATGCTACATAGGCTAAAAAAAAACACATGTCCAGCGAGTTAGTAGACCAACCCCTTTTAAAATCTGTCACAGACCTGAGCATTTAAATTAGGCATATTAGCAGACATTACCTTTTTATTAAATGTCAAAACAGCATACATTTTAAGTACATATTGATTTTTCCTGTAAACGTTGAACTCACCCTAGTCTTTTTTAACCCCTATTTTTCCTATTGGTCATTGGTCAATAAGGGTAGAGCCAATCTCAACGTTTACAACCAAAGTCAATATCTGCATATACTTTTATCTGAATGTGTGGAGTTGATTATTTTGAAGTGTTCTTTGTTACTGAACTGTGTTTTTATGCATTTTCTTTTTAACACCTGCTTATGAACTGCCCAGGTTTAACAGATTTACTTTAAGTTTATGAATTCTGATGGTGTTCTAATATGCAGAACTAAAGCCACTCTAGTAGTGCTGATGAAGGCCCTTTTTTATTATAGGTCATTAGGCTCCTTCAAATAAAATCAATTCACTGGCATATCTAAATATTAATTCACCAATTACTGTCTTTTAATTATATAAACATATCATGTGACACATATTTTGTCAGCCTTTTGCTGAACTCTTTCTGAGAGTTCTAATTTCTTGCCTGTCATCCTTGACCAAAGACAAGTATGAACTTTTTGACTAAAATATTTAAAGGGACTATTTATTTGTTTTACAGGTGGACTTTTCATGTAGTTTTCTAACTTTTTAACGTTTTACATTTCTTTCAGTTGTTCACATTTAATTATTGAACATGGTTCAAAGAATAAGCGCTCATCTCTTTACGGTGGTGTTAAAAAAGGCACATCAGTATTTAGCAGTCCTGACCGAGTTGTAGAAGGTGGTTTTACTTTGGGTAGCCCAGCTATAGATAAAGAAGGTAAGACTGGATTTCTAGTTCTATGAAATGTTTAATACTTTTTATACTGTTATACTATTTACTGAATTTAATTTGATAAGGATATGATCATAAATCTTTTGGATTAACATTTCTGTTGTAAATCAAAGCTCATATTGTTTAATCTGGTATTTCACAAAGGCTGATTAGAAGACAAACTGGTTTATATAGCAAAGCAGTCCAGGAATAGAGTAAAAAGAGGAATAGTGCTAACAAATCAGTATTGTTATTATAGGTTGTTTGTGAACTGTTGCTCCTGGAGAGGATAGTTGTTGTTTTGTTTTTTTTGTTTCAAATGGTTTTTATTGATTTTGTCAGAAGTACAAAGTAACACAGCCAGCACAGTGACAGGATAGTTGTTAATGCACTTTGTGCACAACTGTGATACTTTGAAAGTATGGTGCTTATTTGTAAGGGCGTACAGCTCAGTGGGAGCAAGATTTATTTCTGTTGAGGTGTGGCGCTCCATTGGTAGCCAGGGGTTTGTCCTATTGCAGGTTCTGCTATGCTGCTGCTTTGGTGCCTCAAGAATTAAGATGCACGCTCCTTGGCTTTTAATCCCTTCTGTCTTGCATGTAGCAGGCACTGACGAGAGTGTAGTAGAGTGGTTCTGTTTGGTGAAGCAAGGTGGAGTAGGCACAATGCAATACTCCAGGTTTGCATACCACTGGATTGAGATGATCCTACTGAATGACTTTGTATTCACTAGGAGCTTGGCTACACATATAAAGTAGTATTTGGTGCGATATTTTTTTTTTTTGCAACAGAAGTATATCCACTTTTAACCACCACTTTTAATGTGAAATTCCTTCTATAACTTTATGAATTATCTTGAAGGGAAGAAAGCAGACAAAGTCTAAGCTACAGAGTAGTAAAATGACAAAGTAGTAGTTTGGTAAGATTTGACAACTTCGTTCAAAGTAAGCAACATCACGCAGGTTGATTCTATAAGGCCTCATTCACACTGACGCGCATATACGCGCGTACGTGCGTATTGTAACATATGCAAATAAATGGCTCCATGCACATAGCCGCGTATGGAGCCGTATATTTGCGTAGCGCAAAAACAGAAGGGAACCGAGATGTGCCCGGGCAGCGTATTTCTGCGTATTTTACGCGCATACGCATGTTTACGCATATATATGCACGTGTATGTGCGTACAGTTCATTAAAATTTCTATTAGGAATGATGCATTCTTTTTTTTTTTTTTTTTTTTTTTAAGATCCACCCAGTGTCCCTACCTTGCAAGAACTGGAGTGGATCCTGAGCCTAGGGTCCAGTGTGGGCTGCTTTGCTGTGACGGAGCTCCATCCTTGTGTGCATTGCTTGCATAACCCCCTTGCACTCCCTGTAGAGATGCCAGGAGCCAGAACATGTCACTCTCGTCCAGGCACCTCTACACGACATGCAAGGAAGCTGTAAGCAATGCATGTATGAATGGAGCTCCCTCGCGGCCATAGCTCCAGCCCACCCTACCTTAAAACTGATACTTGGCGTCAAGTAGCATATGAATGGCTGTTGGCACGAGAACAGAGAGTACTGCGCTAGCGGGGGGCTGAGAAGCCTCTAACCTAGCACAGTGGAAGGCATGCGGCGACCCACTGAACATGAGGTCACGACCCACCAGTTGAGAACCAAGGTTCTAATGTGTCCATGAGGCCCTAGAAACGACGAAGTACCCTCCAGTGTTGGCTGCCGAGGGCTTTGTTTTCCTTTTTTGTTTTTTTTCTTCGTCTGAAGGCTGCACAGAGTTGAGTTTGCTTTGTCCGGGTTGTATAAACTTTGAATTCAGTAAAAGCTGATTATTTAGGTTAAGATCCTTCACTAGTCAAACCTATATTCCTTTGTGAACATTGCTACGTGATTGTACTGGCAGATGAAGAAGTTGCTTTGGACGCAGATACTTAGCTATTCTGCCCCATCCTGAAATGGTTATCTGTTGGATTTAACAGTGATTATGGTCAAGAACTGGCATGGAATACCGCTTATTCCTTACTGTTAATGCTGTGTTGACAACTAGATATTTCCCACCTTCTTGTAATTTAAATTCCTCTTCTACACTACACTTGTAGTTTGGTGTAAGAGGTTAGGTCTTTAGCCTAGGTTAGGGTTTAGCCCTTTCAATTTGTCATACCCTAAAAGAGAACTATGGGGTAAGGGTTTTTCCCCATAGTTCTCTTAAGGGTCACAGGGGGACATATTCTAGCATCCTCCCATGACCCAAAGCTCAGTATATAGCGAGCTACAGCTCACGGTATACTGAGACCACCGCAGCCGGGGCGGATCCTGACATTACTGTCGAGATCCACCCAGCTGCCTGAGTGACAGCGGGCTCTGCCTATCCAGAGCCAGCTGTACCCACCCCCTCCCTATCCGTTCCTCCACTCAGTGCTGGAGGATCGGAGCGGGAGGGGGGGATCCCTGAAGGGAGCCAAAACTGACAGTCACGGCTCTCTGCAGGGAGATGATCGAGAAGTGAGCGAGCGACGGTATGTGTTTGCTCACTTCCCGATCTATTGAGCCGACCTGTGACATTTTTATTGTCACACGTCGGCTCGAACTATGAGGATGAGTGATTTTCACAAGTGTTTGTCAAGCTAAAACATTTTTTTGTTCTTGTTTTATATGAGTGGTGAAGGACTGGAAATCCTGTGGGGTTCCTAGTAGTACTAACTATCATTTGCTCTGTTCGAGAGATTTGTCGTTATTTCTTATCCTGCTGACAACTGTTTTACCAAACAGGAAGTGAAGGAAAATTTGCAGTGGGGACACAGGCAGAAATAAAAATCTAACTGTGATTCTAGACCTCCCTAGTCTCCTTAAGAAAAGCATTTTGTTTATATGTCTGTGCTGTTGTTGGCAAGTCCCCCTCACTTCCTGTCTGGTATAACGTTGTCTGCTGGACAAGGAGTGAGGGTAAATCTCTCTTTGGAAAGCAGTACAAACCTCACAGAGGTTCTAACCCTGCTCAACTCTATCCAAAACTCTAAAGAATATTTTAGGCTGTGCATACAATTTAATTTGATGTGTACAAATTATCCCTCTATGGCATTGTTGCAAAACCTCAAGCAAATGGCATTAATGGTAAGGATACTATATAACCTAATATATGTATCTCTCTTGCAGTACTGATAGGTAAGGATGAAAAGCCCAAATAACATTTAACGATCTGTTTCATATAAGTGTTTACTCTTCAAGGTTAATAAAACATATGTGTTCATTTGTTTTTCAAACATTTTTTATGTTATTTATTTATTTTATGCACTTACCATTTATTTGTATAATAGTCTCAATCGGCTCAATCTTGTAATGTCCAGGGTATGATTACCATTTTTGTTTCTGTTCTTTCCATGCTTTTTCATGTATGGATGTAGAGTTGCAAGTGACTTCAAAGCAAAAGTCAAAAAGAGATTCAAAGAAAGGTATTATGTAGTGGATACAGATAGTCCTTAAGGTGGATTTATGGCTGTTGAACATAAACTAAGAATTCCATAAAGTATCATTCCTTAGATGCAATTTTGTAATTCTAAGAAATTGCAGGAAGCGCAAACCGTAAAATAATAATGCAAAGATATTTTGCACAAACCATATTTATTAGTCAGTGGAAAATTCATAGCATGCCTTTTTGTCTAGTGGACTGTTCCTGATACTGAAATACAGATATAGCTAGTAACAGGGGCTGAACCAAGCAAAGGGCCATGTATAAGTTTCAGCACCACCCTGTGTTTTGCCTTGCAATTATACTGTATTATGTGATGCTTTGCATGACAAGGTGGAGTGTAGATAAAATTAGTTGAGAACCCCCATTCAAAAACTCAAAAGTAAACAATTCACTCTGACATATGATGTAAAATAATGGCATTCAGATTATACTAATGTATACTAAAATATATATCTCACCAGTCGCAATTTTTTTCCAGGCTGCTGGCCAATAATCCAGTTCAATACTAAATGGAAGAAAAGTTGGAAGTACATACCATATAAAAATAACTTGGTTATGCCTAGTTTTAGGCATGGTCCTTATCCGACCATTTAACACAAAATTTCATATTTTTCAGTCTAACAAAAACACAACTTTTTTTTGTTCTGAATTGACAGCTGTTTATCCAGAATTTTTTTCCAGGGAGCATTGTCTATTTCGGACTTTTTTTTTTTTTTTTTTTTCCTTTAGGTTTATTTATAGCATCTGTACCTATTAATTGGTATTAATGTATTTCACATAATAATAATGTTTTCTCTCCTATAGGGACTGATGACCTTTCCCGTGGTGACTCCGAATCCCAGTAAGGGTTTTTTCTGGGTTTTTTTCACCGATAAATATATAAAAGTAACTGTAAGCTGTGGTTTATTTACTACTGCATTTACAATTCTTTTCAATAGCAAACTATTGAGTTAAATTGGTATATCCAGGATCATATCCTTGGAGCAAACTGCGAACTCCTTTCATGTGTGTAATGTGTTTATAAATAGTTTACCATTTTTCAGGCCTGCTGTTGTCTGTTTTTTTAGGTAACATACATTCATAAAAGAGCATTTAATCTGGTGATCTAGTATTTTCTGAATGTTTCTTTGTACAAACATTTTCATTACAGTGTTTCCGGAAAAACAGATTCCTGGCCTTCCTCTGATGAAGATGACCTAGACTTCAGTCCAAAGGTATGATGTCAACTTTAAAAATAATCTCAGAAAGCCAGGGCACTAGGTTAACTTGTATTACCCTAGGAGTCTGGTAAAACTTTTATGTCTGGCTAGAACAGCGGTGTAAATCTTGCTCACTGCCCCTGTCAATGGGCTGCCAATGCCTCTGAATGGGCTGCCAATGCCTCTTCAATGCCTGTGAAAAGTGCACAAATGTGCAAAGGAGGCTACAGCAACTGGTTTAACTGAGAATCATTATCATGTAGTTTACAAACAAAATAAAGTAACACGAATGCTAATCTTTCACACTAACTTGTAGGACAGTTAGCAAAGAAGCCAGTAATGTTATTGCTATCTGTTCTTCCATATTGCTTTTCACAAAAAAAAAAGTAAAAAACGCTACAGTAAAAGACAAACCAAGGGCAATGTGGGCTCACTTTCAATAATATAGCCAGAATAAATGTCTGGTAAGCTTCTCTTCCTCTCTACTAAACAAGTTTGTTGTAGTCACTATGGAACTCTTTCTCAGACACACATTATACCACTTGCCTTAATCAGGGACTTCCTGTGCCTCTTCACAAATCCTACCTCTACCTGGCTCAGCTAAGTCCTGTCCTTTTTATATAGCACTCTCCATAGTGTGATGCCTCCTACTGTGATGCAGGGCTTCTCCCACTCCTTACTAGAATACTGTGTCTAATAAAGGCATAGGCTCCAACAAACTGGCTACCGGGGTCCACAACTGCAGACACTTCCTGTCTACATGTGACTCCTATTTCTGCTCACCGGTGACCACCATTTTTATTTTTTCAGGAAGCACCAATTCAGTGCATACAAAGCCAGTGCTGCTAATTTTCTATGTTGCTCATTGCTAATTATGTCAATGACGGGGGGAATGCCACTTGCCACTTTTACCTGCGCATCATTTCCACATAAAGTTCATATTTAACCAATGACACCATCAAGCTTACAATTCATTCCCTTGTTATCTCTTGCCTCGACTTTTGCAACTCCATCCTTGTTGGCCTACTTCTACACAGGCCCTTCAGTCTTTCATGAATGCTGCTAGACTCATCCACCTTACCAGCAGTTCATTATCTGCCTATCCCACCTTGACATAATAACTGACCCTTTTACTTCTTCCATTAACTCATCCCACACAATTATTACCTTTTTGTATTGCTTGCCCTACTACTGGATTGTAATCTCTCACGAGCAGGGCCCTCCGAACCCTCCTGTATTGAATTTGTATTGTAACTGTACTGTCGCCCTCTATTTTGTAAAACGCTGCACAAACAGTTGGTGCTATATACATCCTGTAGTATAACAATAATAATCTCTGCCTCATAACTTTAAAAATACTAACAATATAAAAAGTCATCCACAGCTTCCCTAAGCTATATCACCCGAACTATCCTCTTTGCTTTCCCTAGAACCTCCTGCTCTCTAGCTCCCTCGTCACCTCCTATGCTGGCCTCCAGGAACTTCTTTAGAGCCTCTCCCATCTTCTGAAATTCCCTACCTCCATCTGTCTGGCTATCTCTTACTCTGTCTGTCTGTTTTTAGGCAATCCCTGAAAACTCATCTCTTCAGGGAAGCCTATTCTACCTCAATGCAATAACTGCTCATTTCCTCATAGGTGTTACCTTCTTTGTTTCACTGGCTCCTCCATTTTAGACTGTAAGCTCTGCTGACCCCCCCTCCTTCTCTTTATTTTATATTGTGACTTTACTGTCTCCCTTTATATTGTAAAGCACTGTGCAAACTGTTGGTGCAATATAAATCCTGTATTATAGTGACGATGACGATAATGTTGGTTCTTTTATAGAAAACATCCAAGCCAAGTTTAACGCAGCTACTGAGCTCCAAAAGAAATGGTTAGTGAAACCAAATTTTAGTAGGCCATGCAAGTTGACATGTTTTCTGTTTGTGTATGTGGAATTCTGAACTGACTTGTGCTTGTTTCTTTTGCTGTAGTTAATGAAAGTGGTAGTTTTACTGCAGCACAGCCTAAAAGATTTGCAATACAGAGTAAATCAGATAGTGAAGAAGACTCTTTTCATGATAGTGAAGATGAAGATGCAAACACTCCGTCCTCTCCTAAGCCTATTCCTGAAATCCATTCCTTTCCTCAACCTGTGATTTTCACAGCTGGCTCCTTTCCAAAACCTCCCCAGCTGGCTTCTGCTTCCCTCCACAGCATTAATAAGGTAAATGTTTGATAACACCATTATTAGTTTTTCATTAATGTGTTTTATTTTCTCCTGCTTTATTTGGCTTCATAATGGATCGTTGACATTTCAAGATGAAACAAAATTAAAAGTCTGTGCTACTAAAAAGTCTGAGCAAACTGTGAATGATCAGGAAGAAGTTGAGGTGAATGATCAGGAAGAAGTTGAGGTGGAAGAAGACAATGAAGAAGAATGTGAAGAAGGTAATGACCAGTGTGAGGAAGATAATGAAGAATCTGAAGCTTTAGATGATGGGGAAGAGGATGAAGAATGTGGAAGTGATGATGACCAGAGTGAGGGAGATCAAGAAGAGTCTGAAGCTTTAGCTGATGAGGAAGAACAATGTGGAGAGGATGATGAGGAGGAAGCACAATGTGAAGAGGATGAGGATAGTTTTGATGATGAAGATCGTGAACAGTGTCCTGAAATAAAAAATGATGGCGATGTTGGTGATAGCTTAGATGATGGCGAGGAACATAGCAATGGAAATGAAGTTGTAGGAAATCTGGATCCCGGCGAAAGAGATTATAGACCAAGCAATGGAATTGCAGAGTCAGATTGCAAAGCAAATGTGGGTTCCTCTCATTGTGATGGGTGTCTGGATACTCCTGAGGTTGAACAGAATGCTCAATACACCCCAGACTGTAATGATGTACCAGTATCACTAATATTTGGGCTACCTGAAAATTCTGAAGAAAATGGAACTTCTACTGAACATGAGGCAGGCTCATTAACAACTTGCATCCGAACAGACCAAAACATTGAAGTTACCAGTACAGCAGAAGGGCAGGATAAGGATGACATGCATGTAATTAAAGAAAGTCAAAGATATTCAGAGATAGATTCAGATTTAAAAGGGATCCCTACTAGTATATGCCAAAATCATGTGAGTAAATAGCATTGTGTGCTTAGAGTAAAGGTTTGTGTGCTATTTTTTGTGTTTAGATACTAGAAGGTGCATCCCCTGTTTTGCTTTCCATCTGCCTATTTTGTGAAATACCCTTTTGTTTTCTGTGTTCATATAGGTGTGTGTTTGTTTATTTCCTCCATATAGACTATATTGTACATTTGTGGCATCCATGGTCTTTCCGCAACCCGGCTGTTTTGTTTAGTTTTTTTTAAAAACATAACATACTTTATTTATCTGAAACGATAAATCAACAAAATTCAAATAACACAGTGGTTTCAGTTTTCTTATTAATCTGGTAACGGAGCAGAATAAAAGAAAAATACAAACATATCAACAATATTGCAGGATACAAATATAAGTACCTTGTTCATTTTAAAATATATCTTAATACATCTTTGTTATATATTCATATATTACCTCTTTGTTGGGGCAGTGACTCCACAAGGGTCCCGTAGTGTCCATCAAATAGTATTTCACATAGCTGGCAATAGATGAACCAGAACCAGGGGTGTGCAAACTTGCAGTACAATAGGTTATTCTTCTTTGTTAAAGGGAAAAAACAAGTGAGGTTTTTTCCGCATCCAACTCAAATCATGAAAAAAATTCAGGTTTGCTTTCTTCATTCTTAAAGGAGAATTATGGGGAGAGTGAAATAAACCCCCATAATTAGAGCCGACGTGTGACACTGGGGCTGTCACACGTCGGCTCTATTGATCGGGAACTGGACGATCACATACCGCTGATTCCTGAGTTCCCGATCTTTAACCTGTAAAGAGCAGTAACTGTCAGGCGCCGCAGAGATTCCCCCCTTCCCTATCTCTATTCCTCCAGCAGAAGGGGAAGGGGCAGGCAGAGCCAGCTGTCAATCAGGCAACAGGCTTGATCCCGACAATATTGTGGGGATCTCTCCTGGCTGCAGCACGGCTCTGTGCTGTCCGCATATAGCAGGCATTAGCACGCTATTGAGTTTTTGGTCACAGGAAGACATTAGTATATGTTCTCCTGCGACCCTGAAGAGAATTATGGCAAAACAAGGTTGAGCCATAGTTTTCTTTTTAACATTAAATGAACGGGTATCTGTTACCTAGTATTATGAAAGATGCACTCTGGTCTATTAGAAACTTTGAGATCCATACAGGGAGCTTAGACTACCTGCTGAGTAGTTCCGTTTTTCCTCCAGGCATTGCTGTACTGTAGCATAACTCCACACTCCTCCCTACTCCCTCATGTCCATATTCTGGATATAATGGCACATACCTTCTGGTGATCCTGGAATACTCTCCTTGTTGCCTCTTGATCGAAGAAAGCCTGATTACATCGCCACCATCAGGTTGAAATATGACTTGGACATTTTAAATGTGATTGGTGAGAGAGTTTTAAACATTACAGGCTTTAGAACGTACACTCCTACTGACCCTCTATGGAGCTGTGTGTGTTTTTGTTCTGCAGGTGATTACACAGATCTCAGAATAAGGTAAATTGAAGTGAACTTTTTCACTTTATAACCATTGCTTTGTTTACTGGTAGCATTGGTAGCTCGCTGAATGCTTTCACTTCCTAAAATTGTGCTTTGAGATATTTATTTTGGACTGCTTCCTGTTCTTTTAGGTAAAATCTTTTTCTAGTGATGAAAGTGAAGAAGATAATGAAGACAGCGAAAGTTCTGAACATTCATTCACAGCAAATACTGCTAGCCAAGCAAAGGTACAAGCCAGTGGAGATGTTGCAGGCAGAAAAGGTTTGTATGTATTTTTGCTGATTTCCCGTATCTGCCCAAATTGTACATCTTAAGTACAAGAACAGAACAGTCTAATCTAGTGCTAATTAAAGCCCAGGGAATTTTCTGCTACAGGAGCCAAAGAGATAATATCTGGCCATGGCTAATAGAAGAACAGAAAAGAGATTAAACTATTATGATAATGTAGCTGTTGCATACGGTTTTATATAGTTACATAGTATTTGAGGTTGAATAAAGACATAAGTCCATCAAGTCCAACCTATTGTGTGTATGCATTTATGTTTGAGCAGGTGTGTGCATGTGTATTAGTCCATGTGTGATTTTGCTCTTAAGCGTACCTGTACCCCTGTATATTATGGTCTCCGAGGAAGTCGTCCAGGAGTTTCTTGAATGTTTTATTATTCTTTTGTATTATTATTACTATTATTCAGTTAATTTTGCTCTAATTAACACTGTGAGGGATTGATGCATATAGTAATGTGATGACAGCCTTGTAAATATATATATTATTTTTTTTGTAGTCGCACTAATGTCAGAACTTGGACTGGAAGATGATGATGTTGAATCACCTTGGGATTCTGAGGTAGGTTTACAGTATTTGGTTTATTGTAACTTAATCATGAGGCATAATTGTTCTGTTTTAAAATACCTAAATATGTTATTATGTTATATTCTTGATGTGGTTATTTTAACATTTTTTGTAAATTTTTATTTTAGTCTGCCTCAGACAGTCCTAGAAAGCATTCTACCAGTGACATGCCTACACCTGCTGCTCCAGTTCACATGCAGTGTATTTCCGAGGAATCACATGAGGGTACGTGTTACCTGTCTACATGTAGATTAGATCAGTCGTTTTGAAAACATTAATTTCTGTACATCTGATTTATTTTTGCAACAAGCCACACATCTCTGAATTTGTTCCAGTTATGCACAGGCTATAAATTCATCCATTTGAGTGGGCATGAAAAGGCAATGAAGGCTGCCATGGCTAACCCCTCCTTCTGAAAATGCTCGCTGACTTTGTCATGCTTGACTCTTTTCTTGTTATAGGTCAATGAAAACAGTGGATCTGCATAAACCGCCAGCAATGACAGGTCAACAGTGGCAGCTCCCATATTTCTCCCATGACTGCTTTACTTATTGAACCCTTCACAAAAGTGCTCCACGTTTTATTAAATTGCTATTTACTGGCTATTAATGAGAAATCGAATGAAAAATGTTATACATTTAATTTCTATGACCTTCATCTACTGTGTATGTATATATGTGTATACAATATGTGAGATATAGATATATATATATATATAATATTTGTATTATATATACAGTGTTTTCTGAGTTAGTGACCCGCGACAGGTGCCTCAACCAGGTTTAGCTTTTTTTGTTGCATACTTATTTTGGGTCAGAGGCTCACCGGTTATTCAACTGAGATGATCAGCATGAGAGCCAGTCAACTAGTATTTTCAGAAGCAAATGCAGCTCGCGTATTTCTTTTAATGGCAGGTTTCCGTGACATCTGGTCTGGGTGCACTTGGGGTACTACATTTGTGTTCTTTACACTACCTTATTGATTCATCGTGCTTTGGTTTATTTACCTGTTTACGTGTTTAAGTTCTAAATTCTGTGTCCCTCATCAGATATGTATTACCGTCCTTGTTTTCTTAAACATTCAAGAAGTTGTAAGATGCAGGATGAGGACTGGCTCTATAGACAGAGCGGTATGATCATGTATTCAAAAAGCCAAATCCTTTGGATGCATGGCACAGTAACAGGCTCCATATTTCTGCTATACTAATTCTCTTGCACTGCATAATCTGACAAATTCTACTCTGTACTCTGTGCGCACAGAGCATGACGTTTGCATGACATCTGATTGTACAGATTAGGGAAACTGATTTCTACTTTATTTTGTCTTTTCTAGCGGTTTCTGAGAAAAGTACAGCTCCAGAAAGTAACAAGGTATCAGTTGGTTCTTTATGTGATCATTCTATAAACTGTTATGAATATATTATGTTAAGAATATTGTTTGCTGTTTATTAATCCACAGAAAACCGTTTTGCAAATGAATAATGGCTCCTCCGCTACTTCAGTGTCTAAAGTAAATGAAAGGAACAGTAAATCAGGTAATTATTTTTTCTATTCATTAAACACGGTTAATTTATAATCCAGATATGTGTATATATAATCTGTTTGCTATTCTTGTTTTTCTGTAATAGATCTCATGGCAGATTTGGGTCTAGATGATGCTGATGATATTGAAGGTAATGCTCTTGTAAACTGTGTGTGTGTGTGTGTGTGTGTGTGTGTGTGTGTGTGTGTGTGTTTTTATACTCATTTTTTTTTTTTTTTTAGAGTGTCTTGAT